TGCGGTAATATAATCAGCTACATATTGCGAGAGGTTGTAAATAGGCTGATAGAATAAGGTAATCTAGAAGAGTTTCCGGGAAACTCTAATTTAGTTTAAGGCCTGTGGGGTTGGAAAGGATTTCAATATTACCCCGTGTAATATAAAACTACTTATCTTCCAAGTGGGTTTAAGGAAGTTGCTGATAAGTTTACTCTATTTACATCAAGACTAACTAAGCGACTACATACAAATTTGATGTTATTTAAACATATTCGGCTGCTCTGCTCAATATCGCATAAATAAGCCAAGCACCATTAACCAGAACAGTTTCAAAATGCGACTCAGTATCGATAAATCCGATTTGCGGGCGTGCAATTGCTGCTTCTGTCCTATGCTGGCCAAAGTTCATTCTATAAACACCATAGCGATAGAGAATCGTGATATATGAGGCTCATTTGGTCTGCATATCTGGTTAGTGCGGTTCTGAATGGTTGAAAATCACATATTTATTGTTCAAGAGCTTCAATTAATTACTTGTAACAGATCCGAGCAGTTTTTTTGCACATAATATCAACCCGATTTTATTTCTTCATTGCTTTGCAACCCTTCAAAATATCGATGTTCGTGCACCACTTTGCGCTTTATTTGATTAACCGTGATTCATAGACAAAGTTTGTCCGCTTTCAATTTATTATGGGATAGAACAAAGTTGGAGTTTGATAATATAATTAGCCGGTTATTGTGAGAGGGCTGCGTAAGCAAGTTCATTTAGTAATCAGGAACAGTTTGCCGGAAACTTTAATTTTAGACTAAGTTTGCGGCGATTGGAAGCAGTTTAAGCCTAATGAAAATATACGGGTTTGTGCGGTTGTTTAATGCCCACAAAAATTACAGTTTTGACTTCTGTTCTTTGCTACTTTTGCCCGGTTTCCCGGAACTGTTTTTATTCAGATTTATTGCAGGCATTTCCCAATTAAATCACTTTGTCTTCTTTTTAAATTTCTTAACAAATTTCCGCGGCAAAACCAGTTTTTAATTAAGATGTTTCAACAATATTTAATTAGTAATATTTTCTATCCTGCTTCCATTCACAGCAAACTGCTGGCAAAGAAATATAATTAGCAAAATATTACAAAGAGCGCTGGCTGATGAAGTTAGCTTAGTAATCAAATAGAGTTTTGCTACTTTATCTCATGATTTTTACGAGTTATACAGTTTTTATCTCAAAGGCCCAGCAAGTCTGTAAAATGTTTCGCTTCATTCAAAAGCAGCAGCAGAAGCTTGTTGTTGAGAACCTTCGAAGTCTATAAACAGTGAAAATACTCTCAAGAAAACTTTAGCAACTCATTTGTTATTTGTGATGGAAACTTTTTTCTGTTTTCGGGCAACTTTCCAAGTTGCCTGAATGGAACTCACCCAGTTTGGCTAATCTGCACTTTGTGCCTATCCTTGCTCACTCGCTGTGGTAGAAAAAGGACGTGATATATTTTAGTGATATTAAAGGAGGATGATAAGTGAAACTTTCCGCATAACTTTATGAAGCCTTCAGCCATTATCCCAGTTCTTACTTGCACCGCAAAATTTAACGTTAGACGAGTGATAAATTAAGGGGTTTGCTAACGACAAGCATCTGGTTGATCAGAAGTAACTCCAAAAGTTCGCATTTTCACTATTTTTTAAATGCAAATAGTTTCTTGAAGTCAATCGTAAATCCAAAACTTTGACTATAACTGGTGGAAGCTTCTAGTTAAGTCTTTATTTAAACTGTAAC